TGTACGTGCAGAAGTGTGTTATTGCATGAATACGTAGAAAAGCAGGAGGGAAAAAGGAGGTCAGCGGCGCAGGAGGGGAGGAGCTAAAACTCACCTCCTGTCAAAACCAAAACCTTTAAAGGGGGTTTCACTTCAATAAGTAGTGGTTCTTTTACATAGCTCTTTGAACAACCTCAGTTTGTAGACACACAGATCAGTTCTGAAAATTAGCTTTGCTAAAACAGATTTATGGCTTTTAATCGTTTTGAGCTATTAGGATAGGACATTTGTAGAGCTGTAAAAGAATACAATTAAATATTGTGTGATTGGATCAGAATTCATCTCTGTTTCTCCCAACTGAGGCCGTTCAAACCCCATCCTACCAAGACTGTGAATGTTTCTCAATGCCAAGGAACCTTGCCTTGATATCTTGGTCCCGCCCCGGTTGCCTGGGAGATACGTCATCGGGAGCCACCTAGACGTGTTCCAGTGTTCACGTTCTACTGAGGCTTGTGTTCTCCGTTTGTTAGCCGTTTAGCTAGCTGAACGAGGATACACGGGAGGTGTCTTGTAGCCTAGCCTTGGTCAAAAATTACCCAGATTACACCGCTGTGTTTTCAAAAGGACGACGGATCAGAAGCCGGCAGCAGCTTCGGGGCCAAATTTCAAGTTTAACCCTCCCACTATCCTAATGAGGGTGACCCCATGAGGAAAGTTGACCATTGAGCAGGGTTGATGGTTTATCCCTCGAGGTCCATGTGGCAGGGGTGAGGTGGTGCTCACTCCTCACTCCTGCCACAAGGGATCAACCATCAACCCTGCTCAATGGTCAACTTTCCTCATGGGGTCACCCCCATTAGGACAGTGGGAGGGTTAAATGTAAGTCAACTAATAAAAAAAAAAAGATTGTTTTTTTTTAGATCCAAAGAAGTTAGCTATGGTTGGTTAGTTGTTTAGTAGTTGCAGCTTCGTTGGCTGGCGGGTAGTAACTCATTTATATATTTAATTTAACTAATATATACACACTTTACAAAGTAAAAGGCCCGTTATATATTTCTGTTGAAACTAAATGTATGAAATATAAAGTTATCTCCTGTGTTACGTGACGTTACGTGACCACCGTGGAAGCCGCAGTCACGTGATGCAAGTCTGTTCCATTTAACCGTTTTCTTTGACCGAGGAAGGACGCAAGGCGCCTGGCCTCGCAAGGCATTTAGACTGATTTGTGAACAACGTTTGAGAGAAATGGTAATTTTGTGTATCTGGAATGAATTTTAGGTCTTTAAGTCCATCTCATGAAAAATCGGAGCAGAAACAAAGGTGATGCGTTTATATTTTTGTTGAGTGTATTTGTCATAAACCAAGGCTGTTCAAAAATAGACTTCAAAATGGTTGAAATCTCAGTTTGAGAGCAGGACTATGGACACCGCAGGAGTCTAGATGATTTAATCCTGTTTTTAATTTTAGGATTCCTCGGCACTTTCTACACCTGAGTTAGACGCTGAACACCTTTAGGCTGTTTCATTCCTCTTTAGAATGGGAAAAAACGTCTCTAAGAGGTAAAAAAAAATCACCAAAGCAACATCGATCTTCTATTTTCTGCAAGAAAACAAAAATATCTTTCCCAGATAAAATTTGAATAATTTATTTCCGATTTCTGTTATGACGTTACGTGTTGCCTTGCAGCAAGTCAGTGAAATGTCAAAAACAACAAAAAAAAAAAGCAGGTCTATTTATTTGAACTTGCTTTCTGCTTGGTCATGACTCCTTCTGCTCATAATGCAGCTGCTGGACCACGACGAGCTCCACTCACTCATGTATTTTTAATGTGGCAGCAACAAACTGGCCACACATGTTAGATTGAAAGCATCCGGTGCAAATGGGAAGCCTCTGATATTAATCATACGTGTGTGTGTGTGTGTGTGTGTTCCTCTTTTTGTGCTCTTTTTCAGTTCTTTATTGTAAATGTAGCTATACTTATAGTGTTCCCTAAATGATTAGATTTCTGCTCTCCTTTACTCATCTTTTAGTTATTGTTTCAATGGTTTACTGGAGTTTTGCTATTTTTGTGTCATGCTTCGTCTCTTTGAGTCATTCTGTTTCCTTCTTGGTCATTTTGAGTCATTTTGGACACGTTTTTGGAATCTTTACTGATGTTTTGTGGCTGATTTTTGTCATTTTTCTTGTAGTTTTAACAAGCGACTTATTTATTAGCATCTGTTCAACCAGCTGAGTGGCTTAGTGGTATGAGTGTCCACCCTGGTACTGGGAGATTGGGGTTCAAATCCTGGTCGGTTCATACCAAAGACTTTAAAAATGGGACCTAATGCCTCCCTGCTTTACACTCAGCTGTAAGGGGTTAGCTAGTGAACTAGACCAAATTCTTGCTTTGCAAAGTTTGGTCTAGGAACGCTCCACTGGAACCTCTGCAGCCCCTAACAGCATTCTGGCTGGCCAATCACAGCTCTCTAGAGGGGTTTCAAACACATAAAGAGCTGTGATTGGTCCATAATGGTGGGCC